GTTATCTCAACGGCATGCGCTGGAATGTGGTGTGCCACAGGGAGCAATTATCTCCCCCATGTTGTTCAATATCTATATGCGCCCCCTTGCTCAGATTATCTGAGGGTATGGTCTGGGTTTTCACCAGTATACAGATGACACCCAGCTCTATCTACTGATGGATGGCTGCCTGGACATGGCCCCATGTGATCTGGACTGGGTGTTACAGGCTGTGGCTGGATGGTTGCGACAGAGCCGACTAAAGCGAAATCCATCTAAGACGGAGGTCCTGTATCTGAGCTGTGGGGCATTGAGTCAGGGAATCAGGTGCCCAACCTTCGATGGGGCTCCATTGGTGCCAACGTCAAGGGTGAAGAATCTGGGGGTGCTCCTGGATGCCTCCCTTTCTATGGAGGTCCAGGTCGCCGCCACTGCCAGATTGGCCTTTTTTCATCTCAGGCAGTTGGCACCTTATCTCACCCCACGAGACCTAGCTACAGTGACCCATGCAATGGTCACTTCCAGACAGGACTATTGTAACTCTCTCTACATGGGGCTGCCCTTGATCCTGCTCCGGAAGTTGCAGCTAGTGCAGAACGCAGCAGCATGGGTGTTGACAGTGATGCCTGTGCAGGCTTGCATCCACCCAGTCCTGCGTGAACTGTACTGGCTGCCTATTGAATTCCGGATCCATTCCAAGGTGCTGGTACTTATCTTTAAAGCCCTATGTGGCCAGGGGCCAGCATACCTTCGAGACCGCCTCTCCCCATATGAACCTGAGGACACTGAGGTCTATGAAACAACATCTTGTAGCAGTCCCCAGGCCCAGGGACATCTGACTAGCCTCGACCAGGGCCAGGGCTTTTTCGGCCTTGGCCCGCACCTGGTGGAATGAGCTCCCATACATGATCAGGGCCCTGTGGGATCGATTACAGTTCCGCAGGGCCTGCAAGACGGAGCTCTTCCACCAGGCCTTTGATTGAGGAGGCAGACCTCCCTCTTTCCTCCTGGTTATCTCCCCTTCAGTGGCCTGGATCTTATCATCGGTACTGTTAAATTGACATCGGTGGCCTAGATCTTAATATCAGTATTGCCAAATTGACATCGGAACTAGTTTGTGTGCACGGTATTTTATGGTTTTACCATTGTAATTGTTATTTTAATTGCTGT